CGGCTCCAAGACAGCCCCACGAGGACCCCGATGGGCCCAGGACGGCCTACGGACGCGCACATGAGGGGCCCACGACGAACCAAGACGGCCCCATCAGGGCAAACGGCGCTCTCAAGACGGGCCTAGACGGCTCCAAGACGGCACTTTGAGGGAGCCAACGCGGCCCCACACCCTTCGGGCGCACACTTGGGGGGGCTGGGAGCTTGCGACAAGTCTCCCACATTCATTGTCCTGCCCCATTCTGTTCGCCTGGAGGCCTCCTCCAACCCTGTGGGCGAACAAGAGGAATCCCAGCGGGACGCCAACCCTGGGGCCCGTGGGCCCCGCGCCGCTTGGGCAGAAGACGAACGCCGGGTCTGACAGGCCAGCTACCGCCCCCCTTTGCCCGATATGCTGTGCCATTCTGTTCCCCCAGGGGCCTTGGCAAACTCTTCGGGCCAAGCAGACCGGACCCCTGGGACAGCAGCCAATTGATATGACCCTGGGACCTCTCCGCATTCTTCGGACGAGCATCTGGGGGGCCCAGGAGATTCGGACATGTCTTCCCCATTCCTTGCCCTGTCCCGTTCTGTTCGCCCGAAGGCCTCCACAGACCCTCTGGGCGAACAGAATGGGACATGGCGAACAAACCCTCCCGTTGGCGGTGATGCGACTGGATCGCACCATCAAGGCGCGCCCGGAGGTGATGGCCGACCCAACAGCGGTTTCTCTTAAGAGTTCACTGGATTTCAAATTTTCTTGAAGCTCTCTTGGGCCCTCCCTGTAGATCCTTGCGAGCCTCCCCGGCGCTTTCGGTGGCTTTCCCCGATGGCCTCCCGAGCCCTTCCCCGAGCGCTCCTGAGACGCCTCAGATGGGCTTCGACTTCGACGCACATCCCCGAGAGACTTCGAAACTGTCCTCAATAGGAGGGGGGTGAACGAGCAGTGCGCTGGGCCAAGCTGCTGCAGCGCTGCAAGAGCTCGGACACGAAGGCGCGGTCTCGCTGCCGCCGCCCGAGCCGCCGCCGTGTTTGTAGATTTTCGGTACAATCTGCGCCGTTCCTCCGAGAACCATTCCAGAAAGATGTCGTGGACGGAGTCCACGGGTCAGCCCTAGTCTCTACTACATTGCAGGAGCACGTGCGTGCCAGAAGGGCGCAGGCTCAAATGTCTCAAAACCGCCCCGGGCTGGCCCCGGGCCGCCCCGGGCCGCCCAGGCAGGCCCCAGGACATGTCCAGAGGGCCCCAGAAGCCCCCAAGACGGCCCCGGAGAGCCCCGGCACGCTTAAAGATGGGCCCAAGACGCCCGAGATTCGCCCCAGGCGGCCCAAGAGGCGTCCAAGACGCCCGAAGAGGCCTCCCAAGAGGCCTCCCAAGAGGGCCCCGAGCGACAGAAATCGTCGATTTCTATTGTGTTTTTCGATATGTTCGGCCTCCTCGCCTCGTCGGCGCCCCCCCAACCGCTCCAAGACGGCCGAAGAGGACCCCAAGAGAGCCCCAAGACGGGCCAGGAGGGCCCCCAGACGGTCCCAAGACGCCCCAGGACGGCCCAGGAGGCGCCCAAGACGGCCCAAGAGGCACCCAAGACGACCCCAGGAGCGGCCCAAGACGGCCCACGACAGCCCAAGAGGCGCCGAGGCGGGTCTCAGACGGCCCCAAGACGGCCCAAGAGGCACCCAAGACGGCCCGAGAGGGCCCTAAGAGCCCCCCCGGGAGGCCCAAAAGAAGGCCGAAGAGGCTCCGAAACGGCCCCCACGAAGCCTTCAGTGCCTTCAGAATTCCCTCCAGGAGCGGGGGAGCGGACGAGAGGCGACAGGCATATCGCAGGCAAAAACGCCCCAAGAGATCCCCAAACGGCCCCCACGAAGCCCTAAGTGGCCTCAGAATTGCTTCCAGGAGGGGGGGAGCGGACGAGAGGCGACCGGCATATCGAAGGCACAAAAGAACAATGTTGGACGCTCCGAGGGCCTTCGATGTTTCTCCGTTGGGGAGAGTCGTCGTAGGATCGACGATTGCCGACCGAGGGCAGCGAATCCAGTGGAGGCCCAAGAGGCCCCCAGGAGCCCAAAAGAGATCCCCAAGAGGTGCCACGAAGCTTAAAAACTGCTTCGAAGCGAGGGGGGCGGACGAGGGGACCGCCTCAGGAGGTTTTGGACGGTTTTGGGCCTCAAAATCGTCCGCTTTACGACGGTTTTGGAAGGATTTTGGCCTTCTCGCCTTTTCCGCTTTCCGACGCTCGAAGACGGCCCAAGAGGCCTCCAAGAGCGCCCCAGAACGGCCCAAGAGGTTTCCAAGAGCGCCCCAAGACAGCCCAAGAGGGCCCCAAGACGACCCAAGAGACGCTCAAGACGGCCCACGAGGGCCCGAAGACAGGCCCAAGAGGGGGCCAAGAGGGGGACCACGGACCGAAAATCCGAGCCTTCCGCCCCAAGAGGGCGCCAGGAGGCCCAAACAGGCCCCCAAGAGGCCCCAAGGGGCCGCCAAGAATCCCCCGAAGAGGCCCCAGGAGGCTCCCAAGGAGCCCAAACGAGGCCCCTACAGAGGCCCCAACAGCTTCCAAAATGGCCCCGAAGAGGCCTCGAGCCCACCTCCGAGCTTCCTCGCCGCGAGGGTGCCAACACGGCCCCAAACCGGCCCAGGACGGCCCAAGGCGCGCTCAAGACGGCCCAAGACGATTCCAAGACGGTCCCAGGAGGGTGCGCCCAGGACGGCCCAAGGACGCGCCCGTTCGGGGCCTCAAGACGGGCCAAGATGGCAAGAGAGTCCCAGCTGGCAAAAATCGTTAATTTTCCATTGTTTACTGTTACACCCTTTGCGTTTCCCGCCGTTTCGGCGGTCCGATGCACCAAGAGGCCCCAGAAAGTCCCAGGAGGGTCCGAGGAACCGCCCAGGAAGGCCCCAAGACGGGCCAAGACGGACCCAGCACAACCCAAGGCGCGCTGCGACGGCTCAAGACGGCTCCAAGACAGCCCCAAGAGGGTGCCAACACGGCCCCTGCTGGGCCCAGGACGGCCCAAGGAGGCGCACAGGAGGGGCCCAAGACGACTCCAAGGCGGCCTCCTCACGGTCCCAGACGGCTCCAAGACAGCCCCACGAGGACCCCGATGGGCCCAGGACGGCCTACGGACGCGCCCATGAGGGGCCCACGACGAACCAAGACGGCCCCATCAGGGCAAACGGCGCCCTCAAGACGGGCCTAGACGGCTCCAAGACGGCCCTTTGAGGGAGCCAACGCGGCCCCACACCCTTCGGGCGCACACTTGGGGGGGCTGGGAGCTTGCGACAAGTCTCCCACATTCATTGTCCTGCCCCATTCTGTTCGCCTGGAGGCCTCCTCCAACCCTGTGGGCGAACAAGAGGAATCCCAGCGGGACGCCAACCCTGGGGCCCGTGGGCCCCGCGCCGCTTGGGCAGAAGACGAACGCCGGGTCTGACAGGCCAGCTACCGCCCCCCTTTGCCCGATATGCTGTGCCATTCTGTTCCCCCAGGGGCCTTGGCAAACTCTTCGGGCCAAGCAGACCGGACCCCTGGGACAGCAGCCAATTGATATGACCCTGGGACCTCTCCGCATTCTTCGGACGAGCATCTGGGGGGCCCAGGAGATTCGGACATGTCTTCCCCATTCCTTGCCCTGTCCCGTTCTGTTCGCCCGAAGGCCTCCACAGACCCTCTGGGCGAACAGAATGGGACATGGCGAACAAACCCTCCCGTTGGCGGTGATGCGACTGGATCGCACCATCAAGGCGCGCCCGGAGGTGATGGCCGACCCAACAGCGGTTTCTCTTAAGAGTTCACTGGATTTCAAATTTTCTTGAAGCTCTCTTGGGCCCTCCCTGTAGATCCTTGCGAGCCTCCCCGGCGCTTTCGGTGGCTTTCCCCGATGGCCTCCCGAGCCCTTCCCCGAGCGCTCCTGAGACGCCTCAGATGGGCTTCGACTTCGACGCACATCCCCGAGAGACTTCGAAACTGTCCTCAATAGGAGGGGGGTGAACGAGCAGTGCGCTGGGCCAAGCTGCTGCAGCGCTGCAAGAGCTCGGACACGAAGGCGCGGTCTCGCTGCCGCCGCCCGAGCCGCCGCCGTGTTTGTAGATTTTCGGTACAATCTGCGCCGTTCCTCCGAGAACCATTCCAGAAAGATGTCGTGGACGGAGTCCACGGGTCAGCCCTAGTCTCTACTACATTGCAGGGCCCAGTGCGTGCCAGAATGGCGCAGGCCCCAATGCACCAAAACCGCCCCGGGCTGGCCCCGGGCCGCCCCGGGCCGCCCAGGCAGGCTCCAGGACATGTCGAGAGGGCCCCCAGAAGCCCCCAAGACGGCCCCGGAGAGCCCCGGCACGCTTAAAGATGGGCCCAAGACGCCCGAGATTCGCCCCAGACGGCCCAAGAGGCGTCCAAGACGCCCGAAGAGGCCTCCCAAGAGGCCTCCCAAGAGGGCCCCGAGCGACAGAAATCGTCGATTTCTATTGTGTTTTTCGATGTTTTCGGCCTCCTCGCCTCTTCGGCTTCCCGACGCTCCAAGACGGCCCAAGAAGTCCCCCCGACCGCTCCAAGACGGCCGAAGAGGACCCCAAGAGAGCCCCAAGACGGGCCAGGAGGGCCCCAAGACGGTCCCAAGACGCCCCAGGACGGCCCCAGGACGGCCCAGGAGGCGCCCAAGACGGCCCAATAGGCACCCAAGACGGCCCCAGGAGCGGCCCAAGACGGCCCAAGACAGCCCAAGAGGCGCCGAGGCGGGCCTCAGACGGCCCCAAGACGGCCCAAGAGGCACCCAAGACGGCCCGAGAGGGCCCTAAGAGCCCCCCCGGGAGGCCCAAAAGAAGGCCGAAGAGGCTCCGAAACGGCCCCCACGAAGCCTTCAGTGGCTTCAGAATTCCCTCCAGGAGCGGGGGAGCGGACGAGAGGCGACAGGCACGCCGCGCTTGCCCAGAGACCCCTCGCCACGTCGAGCTGATGTCGTGGACGGAGTCCACAGGTCTGCCCTAGTCAGCTACAACGCTGGGATCAGCGCGTGCGAGAAGGGCGAGCAGTGGCAGCGGGCTTTGGTGCTGCTCAGCGAGATGTGTGCGGTGAAGCTGGTGCCCGACGTCATCTTTCCTACAATGGCCGGACCAGCGCTCGCGGCGGTGCATGCCGATCGGTGGCAGCGGACTGGCCCCCTCCGGCAGGCCCCTGCGAGCCCCAGCAGGCCTCGGCGCGCTTCCAAGATGGCCCAAGAGCGTGTAGGGGAGTTTTGGCAGTTCCTTGGCTTGCCCTCTTCATAGCGTCCAAGACGGCCATACAGGCGCCCAAGATGGCCCCAGGACGGCTCCTGAGGCGCCCCTGGCGGCCCACGGAGTACCAAGACAGCCTCAAGAGCGGCCCAGGACGGCCCAAGACGACCCCCAGACGGTGCCCAGACTGCTCCACAGATGCCCAAGGCGGCCCCAGGCAACCCCCCGGCGGCCCCGACAACGCTTCAGACGGCCTTCAGACGGCCCAAGAGGCTTCCAAAACGATCCAAGTGGGCTCCACGACGAGCCCCAAGAGAGCCCGAACACCGAGATGTCGCCGCAATCCATTGGGAAAACATACATTTTGGCAGTTCCCCGGCTTGCCCTTTTCATAGCGTCCAAGACGGCCATACAGGCGCCCAAGATGGCCCCAGGACGGCTCCTGAGGCGCCCCTGGCGGCCCACGGGGGGCCCAAGACAGCCTCAAGAGCGGCCCAGGACGGCCCAAGACGACCCCCAGACGGTGCCCAGACTGCTCCAGAGACGCCCAAGGCGGCCCCAGGCAATCCCCCGGCGGCCCCGACAACGCTTCAGACGGCCTCCAGACAGCCCACGAGACTTCCCAAACGATCCAAGTGGGCTCCACGACGAGCCCAGAGAGAGCCCGAACTCCGAATAACCGTCCCATTCCTATGGGAAAACGTACATTTTGGCAGTTCCCGGGCTTGCCCTCTTCATGGCGTCCAAGACGGCCATACAGGGGCCCAAGAAGGCCCCCGGACGGCTCCCGAGGCGCTCTTGGCGGCCCACGGAGTACCCAAGACAGCCTCAAGAGCGGCCCAGGACGGCCCAAGACGACCCCCAGACGGTGCCCAGACTGCTCCAGAGACGCCCATGACGGCCCCAGGCAACCCCCAGACGGCCCCGGACGTCTCCAAGAAGCAGCCGAGACAGCCCAAGATGGCCCCAGGAGACGTCGAGGAGGCCGAAAAGAATCGCAGAGAGGCCCCCAAACGACCTCCAGAGGCCCCGAGATCACGGCCCAAGAAGCACCGAAGACAGCACCCATAGCAGCCAAAGAGGGCCTAAGGCGGCCACAGACGGTCCCAAAACGGCTCCCAGCGCACCATGGGGCCCTGGTGCTCGTTTGGCACTACCTGCCGGATTTGGCCGACAAAAGTCCTCGCCCTTTTTGTCGGTCTGGAGCCCTCTCCGCGGCCTCTTGGGTCCATGCCGTGCTTCGCTCGTCTGGCGGCCCAGAATATCGCCTCGGCCGGCCCGCGCCGCCGCCGCCCAAGGCGCGCCGGACGGGATTCTGGGCCGGCGGCGCGGTGGCCCTGAGTCGGTCCCGCTGATTCTGGGCCGGCGGTGCGGTGGCCCAGAGTCGGTCCCGCCGACTGGGCCAGCGGGCGGCCATTCTGGGGTTATCTTGGAGGCGTGTTGGTGATCCTGGGGCCCCTCAGAGGGCCGCCAGACGGCCCCGAGACGACCCAGGGGCCCCCCAAGAGCGACCCAAGACGGTCCAAGAGGGCCTCCGAGACGGGCCCCGAGCGCTCGAAGACGCCCAAGACAGCCGCCCGACGGCCCAAGAGGCCCCCAACATGCTCCAAGTGGGCTCCAAGAAGAGTCCCGAGAGAGCCCGCACAAGCACAAATCGTCAAATTCCTAGGGAAAGCGTGCATTTTCGCAATTCCCGTTCTGTTCGTTTTCAAAGCGTATGCCCCCAAGATCGCCCCAGGACGTCTCAGGAGCGCCCCATGAGGGCCCCACGACGGCCCAAGACGGCCCAAGACTGCCCCAGGACGGCGCAAGACGGCTCCAGGACTGCTCCTGAGGCGCCCACGACGGCTCTAGAGTCACCCAAGGCAGCCCCAAGAGCGGCCAAAGGCGGCTCAAGACGGCCCCAAGACTGCCCCAAGCCGGCTCCAGAGGCGTCCAAGACTGCTTCAGACGGCCCCAAGACGGCCCAAGAGGGCCCCGAGATGCCCCCAGGAGGCCGCAAGACAGTCCAAGGGGGCCCCAAAAGGCCCCCAGAAGGCTGAAAGAAACCCTGAGAGGCCCCCAAACGGCTCCCAAGGAGAAGGAAGCGCCCGCCATCAGTGGCCGCAAAGGGAGCGTTGCCCTCCTCCGTGGGTGCGGGCGCGAGAGAGAAAGAGCGTCGACCGATGAACAGCAACATGGGCGCTACTTCCCTTTACTATTGCCTCCCAGCTTCAGGGCGCCCTTCGCCGCTGCCGCCGCCCAAGTGAGGCGAGATGCGCCAGAGGCCTCCAGGGAGCGCAGTCCCCAACACAGTCTGATCCCAGAGGGGCGCGGAGACGGCTCCCAAAAGCACGTGGTTCCCTGCGCGTCCACAGTGAACACCCATGCACAGTCCACCGTGCGACATTCCGAGTGCCCTGGGGCAGCATCGATATCTTCCGTGGGCACGAAGCAGAGTATCAGCGGCGGCACACAGCAGCAGCGAGCAGCGGCAGGCAGCGGGTAGAAGCACGCACCAAGCGGAATTGGCCATTAGCAACAACCTGCAGCCACAAGCAGCAAGAACACGCAGCAGCGGCCTCAAGCACTACCAACAGTACGCAAAAGCGGCAGTAAGCAGCATCACGCAGTATCATGTGCGGAATGTGAGGTCAGGCCCCACGATCAGATGCCAGTTTGTGAAGGCTTGAGAGGGCGTGATCCACCGCTGCTTTAGTGTGGAGAGCCCCCCCCCTCTTCCTCCGGAACCCCGGGGTCCCACTCCGCCCCCTCCGAAAATCCCCCCCCCCCCCCCCGCACACCGCCCCCTTCCCTAACCCCCCCCCCCTCCTCTCCCCTCCGCTCCGGAAAACCGGAAAACAGGGGTGGGGTCACTACCGGTTGGACCCCCCCCCTCTCCGGAAAACCGGGGGGGGTGTCACTACCGGTTCGAAATCCCCCCCCCCCATTGGTTTGGCACCCCCAGAAAACCAGAGAGGGGTCACTAGTGGTTCGCACTACCGGTTCGACCCCCCCCCCCCTCGAAAACTGGGGGGGGCCACTACCGGTTCGAACCCCCCCGGGCCCCTTCGAGGGCGGTCACTATATACCGGTTCGAACCCCCCCCCCCCTCCTCCCCCCCCTCCAGAAAAGGAGGGGTCAAACCCCTCCCCCCCTCGAAAACCTGGAGGGTCACTAATTACGGTTCGAACCCCACCCCCCTCGAAAACCGAGGGGGGTCTTTACTGGTTCGACCCCCCCACCCCCCCTCTCGAAAACTGGGGGGGGCACTGCCGGTTCGATCCCCCCCCCACGCTCACCGCCAGCAAACAGTTCTGGGTCCCTACCACCGTCCGCACCACATCCCCCACTGCTGTCCCCAGCACCACTGTCCTCACCACCACTGTCCCCACTGTTCCCACCACCGCCCCACTGTCCCCACCAGTGCCCCCACCACTGTCGCACTGTCCCCACTGTCCCCACCAGTGTTCCCACCACGGTTCCACTATCCCCACTTTCTCCACGGCCCCAACCACTGTGCCACTGTCCCCACTGTCCCACTGTCCCCGCCGCTGTCCCACTGAGCTGTTCAACTGTTCCCACCACTGTCCCCACTGTCCCCACCACTGTCCCTACTGTACCTCTGTTCCATTATCCCACCGCCGTCCTCGCCACCGCCCATCACCACTGTCTCCACCACCACTGTACCCTCCACTGTCCCACTGTTTCCACCACATTCCCACGGTCCCCACACCACTGTCCCCACCACCACCGTCCCCACCACTGTCCCACTGTCCCCAGTGTCCCAACCATTGTCCCCACTGTCCCCACCAGTGCCCCCACCAGTGTCTCACTGTCCCCACTCTCCCCACCATTGTCCCACCACGGTCCCACTCTCCCCACTTTCCCCACGGTCCCTACCATTGTCCCCACTGTTCCCACCACTATCCCACTGTCCCCGCCGCTGTCCCACTGTGCTGTCCCACCGTCCCCACTGTCCCCATCACTGTCCCACTGCCCCCACTGTCCCCACCACTTCCCCCACTGTGCTACTGTGCCACCATTCTCCTCACCACCGCCTTCACCATTGTCCCCACCACTACCGTCCCCACCACTCTCGCACTGTCCCCACCACTGTCCCGCTGTCCCCTCACCACTGTCCCCACCACCACCGTCCCCACCACTGTCCGCACCACTGCCCCACTGTCCCCGCACCACTGTCCCCACCACCACCGCTCCCACCACTGTCTCAGCATCCCCACCATAGTTCAACTGTCCCGAGGGGCGGGAGTCGTTTGCCGGCGGCGAGGGGGGGGAGATTCGAACCTGTAGTGACCCCCTCCGGTTTTCGAGGGGGGAGGGGGGGTTCGAACCGGTAGTGACCCCTCCCCGTTTTCGAGGGGGGGGGGTGTTCGAACCGGTAGTGACCCCCCCACCCTTTTCATGATGGACTGGGGGGGGGGGAGGGGTTCGAACCAGTAGTGACCCCCCCGCCGTTTTCGAGAGGGGGGGGGGTCGAACCGGTAACCCCCCCCCTCCTTTTCATGATGGATTGGGGGGGGGAGGGGTTCGAACCGGTAGTGACACCCCCTCCATTTTCGAGAGGGGTGCGGGGGGTTCGAACCGGTAGTGACCTCCCCCATTTTCATGATGGACTGGGGGGTGAGGGGTTCGAACCGGTAGTGGCCCCCCCCCCGTTTTCGAGGGGAGGGGGGACGGGTTAGGACCCCCCAGTGACCCCCCCTGGTTTTCTGCCAGCAGCGGTAGAAGACGCTCTTTCGCAGATTTCGTGGGCGGAGTCCACGGGTCAGTCGTACCGACGTCGCCAGCTTCCTTCCAGTGCCACAACCCACGACGACGACCACCACCACCAACACGACAACGACGCCGACTACGACGGGTACGACGGCGGCCTCGCGGCGGCGACGGCAACAACGACGCCGACGATGACGGCGACAACGGCGGCCCCGCGACGGCCAAGTTGCTGGAGCGCTGCTAGAGCTCGGACACTAAGGCGCGGTCTCGCTGCCGTCGCCCCGGCGGCCGCCGTGCTTCTACGTTTTCGGCAAAATCTCCGCCGTTCCTCCGATAACCATTCCAGAAAAGTGTCGTGGACGGGGCCCACGGGTCAGCCTCTCTCCTACATGGCAGGTGGAAGCGCGTGCGAGAAGCCCAGGGCCTCAAGTGGACAAAATCGCCCCTTTACGGCGCCACCACGGGGCCGAATCGCTCAGGCTGGTCCCAGAGGCGCTCCAGAGGGGTTCCCAGACCGTCCAAGAGCGCTCCAAGACTGCCTCAGTGGGTCCCGAGAGACGGCCCACGAGGGCCCGAAGCCTTCCGGGGGGGCTCCACGAAGATCCAAGAGGCCGCAAAGACGCCCCAAGAGGGCCCCGAGCGCACGCCAAAGAGGCACAAATCATCCAAATTCCCACAGGAAAGCGTATATTTTCAGCATGCCCGCCTTGTGTGCTCCTCAGCGGCCCAGGACACGCCAAGAGGCCTCCCAAATCGCCCCAAGAAGACGCCAGTGGCCCCTAAGAGGGCTCCAAGACGGCCCACAAGAGCCCCAAGACGACGCCAGAGAGCCCTGAAACGGCCTCACAGAACCCCAAGACGGCCCCAAGAGAGCTCCGAGGGGGCCCCAAGAGGCTCCCAAGACGGCCCCAGGCAGCCTCAAGAGAGCTCCAAGACGGGCCAAGGCCTCCCGGACGCCCCGTGACGGCCCAAAATGGCCCCAAGACGCCCCAAAACGCTCCCAGAGCAGCCTAACAGAACCTCAGAATGGCCCGAAAAAGACCCCCACAAGGACCACCAAGCAGGCCCAGAGAGACGCCCATTCAAAGAGCGATCGGTGAAGTACAGAGCCGTACCTCGGACGCGCTTCGTGGCCGCATCCGGACCGCTGCCCTTCTCTGTGGGTGCGGGCGCCCGCCGTCACGCTTCACCCGGGCAACTGGGAAGAACTCACTACAGCTTTCCGGGCGTACCCCGTCCACGGATCCTCGCCGCTCTTAGAGCGCTGCTCTTCCTGGGTGCGGGCACGAGAGCGCGAAGGTATGCGCGTATGGCACGGAGCCGCGCCGTGGAGGCGCACCAGGGGGACCTGAAGGTCGTGGGCGAAGTCCACGGGTTCACCCTAGTCAGCTATAACGCTGGAGTCAGCGCGTGCGGGAAGGGCGAGCAGTGGCAGCGGGCTCTGGCGCTGCTGAGCGAGATGTGGGAGGCGAAGCTGGAGCCCAACGTCATCTCTCCTGTGCGAGCGACCTTTGAGAGCGCGAAGGGTCTCTGTCTTGACCGTCTGTTCCGACCCCAAAACGGCTCAGGGGGGGATCCAGATGCCCCCCAAACGGCTTCAGAGGGCTTCGGGACGGCTCCGAGAGGCTCGAGGGGGCGCCAAGACATCCTCATAACACCCTTGGGAGCCTCAAGACAGCCCCAGAGGCCCCCAAGGCATGCCAGGAGGCTCACAAGACGGCCCAAGAGGGCCTCCAGGATAGCCCCAAGAGGCTGAAAACGTCCCATTCCCTTCTGGAAACTCACATTGTCACTCTGTCTTGTTTTTTCGTCCTCATAGCGTCCAAGACGGCTATACATGCCCCCCAGCTCACCCCAAGACGCGCCCAGAGGTCCCGAGGAGGACCCCCAAACGGCCCCACACGGCATCGGGACGGCTCCAGATGCGCCCGAGACGGCCCAAGACGCACCCAAGACAGCTCCAGCAGCAGCCAATCATGGCCCAAGACGGCCCCAAGACGGCCTCAGAGGCGCCTAAGACGCCTTCACATGGCCCCAAGACGGCCCAAGACGGCCCAAGACGGCCCAAGAGGGCCCCAAGAGACCCCAGGAGGCCGACAGAAGGCCCCAAATGGCCCCCAAGAGGTATGTGGCCTCAGTATTGGTTCGAAACGAGCGGGCGGACAAGAGTCGACCCAAGAGGCACCCAAGACGGCCCCAGGCAGCCCCAAGAGACCCCCAGGAGGCCGAACAGAGGCTTCCAAACAGCCCCCAAGAGGCAAGTGGCCTCAACATGGCCTCTAATACAGGGGGGCGGACCAGGGGCGAGAGACTGATCGCAGGCCCACCCGAAGAGGCAGCGGGGATGGCGGACGTCGCGGCTCACGACGTGATGATGGCGTGGGGCGCTCGCCATCGCAACGTCTCCACGTCTGGTGCACAGCGCTTTCCACGTCGAGGCGCCGTCTTTTGTTCTTTATTTGTATCCCCTCTACTTCCTTTCACCAGCGCCTCCCATCCCAATCTCTTCCCCTGCACTGCCCGGAAGCCGGCTTTTGAAGTCTGGACCCCTTCCCCAGGGTAGGCATCCGTCTGGAACCCACTTTTCGTGGCCCTGGGTTCCGAACGCGGGCCCCGGGGCCGAAGGCAATGAACCACCGTCGGGCTCATAAAGTCCTACTGTCTGAAGTCTTCCGCTCCTTCCTTGCTTCAGCCTGCGCCTCCCATCCCCGCCTCTTTCGGTACGTTACCTGGAGGCCTGCTCCTGAAGCCTGGAGTCCTTCCCCGGAACGGCCCCGAACGGCCCGAGACGGCCCCGGGACAACAACGGACCAAGATGGCCCCGAGACGGCCACAACATGGTCCCAGAGGCGCCCAAGACGGCTCAAGAGGCACCCAAGACGGCCCGAGAGGGCCCCGAGACCCCCAGGAGGACGAAAAGAGGCTCCCAAACTGCCCCCAAGAGGCCTTGGATGCTTGTCTCGCGGGGAGCGTCGACGACTGCCGATCGAAGACCGACGGGATGAAGGACCGAGGGGAGGAGGCGCAGGACACCCCAAATGGTCCCCCCAACCGACAGAAACCACCGATATGTCCCGAGCATGACCAGAAGGAGGCCCCAAAAGGATCCAGACACCCCGAGACGGCTCCTAGCGAAGATCGACGTGATGAAGGATCCATGTGGAGGACGAGGAGGGCATCCAAACTGGCCCACAAGCAGATAGGAGCCACTGAGATGTCCTGGGTACGCCCCGAAGAAGGCCACTACAGTGTCCGGACACCCCGAGAAGACTCCTAACGTGCAGCCCAAGTAAGCCAAATTGAGAGTTACTCCAGCGTCCTATCGGCGATCCTCCCGTGCACCAGGCGCCTGAGCGGCCCCAGGGCGGGCCGTCTCGGCGGCCTTTTGCGGGCCTCTCAGGCTGTCTAATCTCCAGACGAACGACCACCTGCCCCATTTTCACCACGCTACCAGATGAAGACATCATTCGGCCCCCGCCAGAAGCAGATACCATTACCACGGCGACCCGTCCCGCCGAAGCTGTCGTGAACACAGAGCGCGGCGTGAGGAACAGCTGCTGTCCACACCATGCCGTGCCCACATGGGTGTGCTTCCGTGGGCACCGCCTCCGCCACCGCGTTCCTGCCTTCGGGCCTGCCTGGCTGCCTCCCTCGCACACCTCCCCCCCTCTCAAGCGGCCACCTCCATCCAGACCGCCCCCTCCAGCTTCCCCCTCCCGCGAGGCCCCGGAGACGCCCCACTTCCACGTCCACACCATGGCGGGCGGACCCCGCGGCCGGAAGGCTGCGGGCCAGCCCTGGTCAGCTACAATGCTGGGATCAGCGCGTGCGAGAAGGGCAAGCAGTGGCAGCGGGCGCTTGCGCTGCTGAGCGAGATGCGTGAGACGATGCTGGAGCCCAACGTCATCAGCTGCAGCGCTGGGATCAGCGCGTGCGAGAAGGGCGGGCACTGGCAGCCAGCGCTGGCGCTGCTGAGTGACATGTGGGAGGTGAGACTGGAGCCCAGCGACATCTCTCCTATTCGGCCAGCGCCGGCGCGTGCCGCTCGGCGGGGCTTCGGGAGCCTCGAGACGGGGGTCAGTGCAGACGGGGGCCAGCCAGAGCGCCGGATCTTGCAGGATCCTGCAGCGCCAGGGTCGCATTGACCCGGGCTTGGGTGCAGGATCCTGCAGGATGATGCAGGATCCTTCGCATTGACCCGGGTTTGGGTGCAGGATCTTGCAGGCCTGACTGACCCGGGTCTGGATTGACCCGGGTCAGAAGACACCCGAGGGCTCTGGCACGCCCCGGGCGCGCCCTGGCGCGCCTCCGGCGCGCCTCCGGGCGGCTCCAGCGCGCGTCGGACCGCCTCCAGGGAGCACCGAGGTGCGCTCCAAATGTCTCGAAACAGTTTCAGGACGTTCAGACGTGCGTGCTTCCGGACGGCCCAAGGGGACTCCAAGCCCCTCCAAGAGACGTCCAAGAGGGCTCCCAGAAACAAAAGTCGTCCCAAGTACCAAAGAAAACGCACAGAATTGACAGATTTCCCCGTGCTCGCGCAGCCCACGACAGCCATACATGCTCCCCAAATCGCCCCAGGACGTCCTACGAGGGCCTCCCGGGGACCCCAGGACGGTCCCAAGCGGCCCCGCGACAGCTCAAGCGGCGCCCAGGACAGCGCAAAAGGGTTCGAAGAGCAGCCCAAGACGAGCCCGAGACAGCCCTAGAGGCGCCCCAAAACAGCCTAAACGGCTTAAGACTGCCAGAAAGGCGCCCAAGACGGCCCCAAGAGGCCCCCAAGAGGCCCAAAGGAGGCCTCCAAACCCTGCTGAGCGACGTCCAAGAGGGCTCCCAGAAGCAAAGATCGTCCCAATCCTTCCGGAAAGCGCACGCTTGCCACATATTCGCTTTCCTCGTGTTCACGGCGCCCACGACGGCCATACAGGCCCCCAAGATCGCCCCAAAACTTCCCAAGAGGGTCTCCAGGAAGCCCCCAGAACGGTCCAAGGCGGCCCCATGATAGCTCAAGAGGCGCCCAGGACAGCCCGACAGGGTTCGAAGAGCAGCCCAAGACAGGCCTGAGACAGCCCTAGAGGCGCCCAAAAACATTTCAAATGGCTTCAGACGGCCCAAGAGGCCCCCAAGAGGCCCAAAGGAGGCCTCCAAGCCCTTCCTAGAGACGTCCAAGAGGGCTCCCAGAAGCGAAAATCGTCCCAATCGTTCGGGGAAGCGCACCATTTTCACAGATTCGCTGGCCTCGTGCCCCCCAAGATCGCCCTAAGACGCCCCAAGAGGGCCTCCAATGGGGCCCGATGACCGGTCCGAGGCGGCCCCGGAGCAGCCCACGAGGCGCCCAGGACGGCCCGAAGAGGGCCCGAAGAGCGGCCCAAGACGGGCTCGAAACAGTCCTAGAGGCGCGCAAGAACACTTCAAGTCAGGTCAAGTCACCCCGCTCGCACGAGGACCCTGGCATCGCTCGGACGTGTGCATTTTTCCTTCGGCGAGGACCATCGAGGAGCATCCTTGATCATTTGGCGGAAAAAAAACACGCACGAAACCGAAAAAAAAAACACAGGGAATGGACGTCCGAGCGATGGCGAGGGGCGGGCCCATATGGGGCGCGAGGGACGAGCAGCACGACAGTCGCTGTTCGGGCGGGCGCGCACGGGAAGCACAGAGCCTGCTCACAGGCGGACGTCCAGGAAGTCCACCCACGCGGCGTAATCTCGTGCAGCGTCTTGCCAAGAACACCTTAAATGGCTCAAGACGGCCCAAGAGGCGCCCAAGACGGCCCCAAGGTGCCCTCAAGAGGGCCAAAGGAGGCCTCAAGATGCTTCCCAGCGGTCCCCAACAGGCCCCAAGCGAAGCTGGAGCCCAACGTCATCTGTATTGCAATTCCGGGCGAAGCGCGTGCGAGTACGAGAAGCAGTGGCAGCGCCCCGGGCCGCCCACAGCCGCGAGCCGCCCGGAGAGCCTCCAGGGCGCTCCTCGACGGCCTCAGGAGGCCTCTGCAGCGTTCGCCGACGGCTCCGGGACCCCCAGATCCCCCCAAAGCGGCCTCACAGACGCCGAAGCCGACCCGACCGGAGCCATATGACTGCCCAAGAAGGCTTCAGAGACGGCCCCCGAGGACCGCGTGGATGGCGCCAAGAGGCAGTGCGTGTGCGTTTTCCGGAAGTTTCGAGGGTTTTCCTGTTCCCGCCACTTCGGGCCTACAACGGCCCAGGATGGCCCTAGGGGCTTCCCAGATCGCCCCTGCACGGTCCAAGGGGCTTCAGGAGGCCCCCAGACGGCCCAAGAAGGCCCGTAGACGGCCCAAGAGGAGTGTGTCCCACACTGAGCCCCCGACCCATGGGCCGCTCGCCGAAGGGGTTCCCTCGCCCCCAGCTCGGCCCAAGACGGTCCCAGAGAGCCACGAGACGGCCCCCCGCCAGAAGGCCCCTGGGCCTCTCGTCCGCAGCTCCCTCGCCCCAAGCTCGGCCCAGTACGGCCTCTGCAGCACGCTCTCCGACGGCCCCAGAAGGTCTCTGGGCGGCTCGCCGACGGCCCCACGACACCCGCGTCGCCCCCAGACGGCTCCCCGGAAGCCCCACACCGAGCCCCGTACCCCACACTGAGCCCCCGGCACCTCCAGAAGGCCCCTGGGCCGCTCGCCCAGGGCTCCCTCGCCCCCAGCTCGGCCCAAGACGGCCTCTCAGAGAGCTTCCAGCACGCCCTCCGACGGCCCCAGAAGGCCCCTTGGCGCTCGCCGACGGCTCCACGACACCCGCGTCGCCCCGAAACGGCTTCCCAGAAGCCCCAAACCAAGCCGCATACCCCACACCGAGCCATATCGCCTCCCGACGGATGCCACAACGCACCCCCATGTAGTAGCATCCGTCGGGGGACCCCTACGTCCGGTCACGGGAGGTTTCTTACAGCAACCACACAGCACGCACGCACAACAAGTTTCCCTGGGTGCCCCCAAAAGGAGGCTCTGGGGGACAGGCTGGGAACGGCCCCAGAGGCGCCCAAAAACCGCAAGAGGCCTTCAAGCCGACCCAGAAAGGCTCACAGGAGGGCCCAACAGGCCCCCGACACGGCGCCAGGGACGCTCGCGCTGTTCCACTTCGACGAGTTGTTCACCCACGGTGTGCGAGTCCCAGGTTCAGCACACTGTGGATTTCATCCACAGGTTAGTCACTACGTAGTCTCTACTACATTGCAGGAGCACGTGCGTGCGGGAAGGGTCGGGAAGAGCCTGGGGGCTCTCGGCGCCCCGGCGGCCCCAGGACGCCTCCGAGACGCTCCGGAGGCGAGACGGCTCCGAGCCGCTCAAGATGCCCCGAAGGCGGCCCAAGAGGGCCCCGAGACGCGCAATGATCCGGCCAAGACGCCCAAGATTGGCCCAAGAGCTCCCCAAGACGGTCCAATAGGCCTCCCAAGAGGCCTCCCAAGAGAGCCCCGAGAGGCCAAAATCGTTGATTTTCATATGTTTTTCCGTGGTGTTTTGCTTCGTCGCTTTTTCGGCTTCCCGACGCTCTGAACCCCCCCCAGAGGCAGCCAAGACCGCTCCAAGACGGTCGAAGAGGTTCCCAAGAGGACCCCAAGACGGTCTAAGAGGGCCCCAAGACGGTCCAAGGCGGCCCCAGGACGGCCCCAGAGGCGCCCAAGATAGGTCAACGGGACCCCAAGATGGCCCGAAGAGCGGCCCAAGACGGCTCCAAGACGGCCCGAGGACCGCCCAAGAAGGCCCTAGGGGGCCCCAAGACAGCCCAAGGGGTGCGATAGACGGGCCCAGAGAGGCCCAAGAGGCTCCCAGGAGCCCAAAAGAGGTCCCCAAGAGGTCCCACGGGGCTTCAAAACTGCCTCGAAGCGAGGTGGGCGGACGAGGATCGCGACTGGATCGCACCATCAAGGCGTGCCCGGAGGTGATGGCCGACCCAACAGCGGTTTCTGTTAAGATGTTCCAGAAAGATGTCGTGGACGGAGTCCACGGGTCAGCCCTAGTCTCTACTACATTGCAGGGCCCAGTGCGTGCCAGAAGGGCGCAGGCCCCAATGCACCGAAACCGCCCCGGGCTGGCCCCGGGCCGCCCCGGGCCGCCCAGGCAGGCCTCAGGACATGTCGAGAGGGCTCCAGATTCCCCCAAGACGGCCCCGGAGAGCCCCGGCACGCTTAAAGATGGGCCCAAGACGCCCGAGATTCGCCCCAGGCGGCCCAAGAGGCGTCCAAGACGCCCGAAGAGGCCTCCCAAGAGGCCTCCCAAGAGGGCCCCGAGCGACAGAAATCGTCGATTTCTACTGTGTTTTTCGATGTTTTCGGCCTCCTCGCCTCGTCGGCTTCCCGACGCTCCAAGACGGCCCAAGAAGCCCCCCCGACCGCTCCAAGACGGCCGAAGAGGACCCCAAGAGAGCCCCAAGACGGGCCAGGAGGGCCCCCAGACGGTCCCAAGACGCCCCAGGACGGCCCCAGGACGGCCCAGGAGGCGCCCAAGACGGCCCAAGAGGCACCCAAGACGACCCCAGGAGCGGCCCAAGACGGCCCACGACAGCCCAAGAGGCGCCGAGGCGGGCCTCAGACGGCCCCAAGACGGCCCAAGAGGCACCCAAGACGGCCCGAGAGGGCCCTAAGAGCCCCCCCGGGAGGCCCAAACGAAGGCCGAAGAGGCTCCGAAACGGCCCCCACGAAGCCTTCAGTGCCTTCAGCATTCCCTCCAGGAGCGGGGGAGCGGACGAGAGGCGACAGGCATATCGCAGGCAAAAGCGCCCCAAGAGATCCCCAAACGGCCCCCACGAAGCCCTAAGTGGCTTCAGAATTGCTTCCAGGAGGGGGGGAGCGGACGAGAGGCGACCGGCATATCGAAGGCACAAAAGAACAATGTTGGACGCTCCGAGGGCCTTCGATGTTTCTCTGTTGGGGAGAGTCGTCGTAGGATCGACGATTGCCGACCGAGGGCATGGAGAATCCAGCGAAAGAGGAGAAGAAGGTGGAAGAGGAGGAGGAGGAGGAGGAGGAGGAGGCGGAGGAGGAGGAGGAGGAGGAGGAGGAAGGGGAGGAAGCAGCAGGACCTCCGAGCAGCAGCAGCAGCAGCAGCAGCAGCAGCAGCAGCAGCAGCAGCAGCAGCAGCAGCTGAGGAACACAGGAGAGCAGGAGGTCCTGGAGGGTGTGGAGAGCGCCTTCAACTGGCCGCGTCGAGCTGATGTCGTGGACGGAGTCCACAGGTCTGCCCTAGTCAGCTACAGCGCTGGGATCAGCGCGTGCGAGAAAGGCGAGCAATGGCAGCGGGCACTGGCGCTGCTGAGCGAGATGTGTGAGGTGAAACTGTGGCCCAACGTCATCTCTCCTACAAATATGGTCGTTGTGGGTGCGAAAGGGGCGAGAAGGCCCGAAAGGCGCCGAAGACGGCTCCACATCGCCCCAAAACAGCCCAAGAGGCACTCGAGACGGCCCAAGACGGCCCCGAGAGACCCCCAGGAGGACGAAACGAGGCCCAAAACGGCCGCCAAGAGGCCTTGGATGCTTCTCTCTTGGGGAGCTTCGAACTTCGAGCGTCGTCCTTGGGGGCCTCTTGGACCCTCTGGGAGCCATCTCTGCGCCTTTACGTCTTGGGGCGGTGAGCTCGAAAGGTCGATTCATGTCCTCGCACTGGGGCCCGTCTTAAGACGTTCGTGAGGCCCTCTTGGGCCGTCTGGGAGGCTCGTCTCGTCGCCCTCGTGCGGGCCTCTTAGGCCGCGCCCACCAGCCCCACTCTCACCACACTACCATATAACATGATCATTCGGCCCCGACGAAGAGCAGATAAACTTATCACGGCGACCCGCCCCGCAGCGCGGCTTGAGAAGCAGCTTCTGTCCACACCACGTCGTGCCTGCATGGGTATGCTTCCAGTGACACCGCCTCCACCACCGCGTTCCTGCTTTCAGGCCTGCTTGTCTGCATCCCTCGCCCACCTCTCCCTCCAGCGGCCACCTCCTCCATACAGACCGTCCCCTCCAACCTCCCCCCTCCCGCGAGGCCCCCGAGACGCTCCATCCACTTCCACGTCCACACCATGGCGGGCAGATGCCGTGGCCAGAAGGCTGCGGGTCAGCCCTGGTCTCTACTACATTGCAGGGCCCAGTGCGTGCCAGAAGGGCGCAGGCTCCAATGAGTCAAAACCGCCCCGGGCTGGCCCCGGGCCGCCCCGCCCCGGGCCGCCCAGGCAGGCTCCAGGACATGTCGAGAGGGCCCCCAGAAGCCCCCAAGACGGCCCCGGAGAGCCCCAGCACGCTTAAAGATGGGCCCCAGACGCCCGAGATTCGCCCCAGACGGCCCAAGAGGCGTCCAAGACGCCCGAAGAGGCCCCCCAAGAGGCCTCGCAAGAGGGCCCCGAGCGACAGAAATCGTCGATTTCTATCGTGTTTTTCGATGTTTTCGGCCCCCTCGCCTCTTCGGCTTCCCGACGCTCCAAGACGGCCCAAGAAGTCCCCCCGACCGCTCCAAGACGGCCGAAGAGGACCCCAAGAGAGCCCCAAGACGGGCCAGGAGGGCCCCAAGACGGTCCCAGGACGGCCCCAGGACGGCCCAGGAGGCGCCCAAGACGGCCCAAGAGGCACCCAAGACGGCCCCAGGAGCGGCCCAAGACGGCCCAAGACAGCCCAAGAGGCGCCGAGGCAGGCCTCAGACGGCCCCAAGACGGCCCAAGAGGCACCCAAGACGGCCCGAGAGGGCCCTAAGAGCCCCCCCGGGAGGCCCACAAGAAGGCCGAAGAGGCTCCGAAACGGCCCCCACGAAGCCTTCAGTGCCTTCAGAATTCCCTCCAGGAGCGGGGGAGCGGACGAGAGGCGACAGGCATATCGCAGGCAACAACGCCCCAAGAGATCCCCAAACGGCCCCCACGAAGCCCTAAGTGGCCTCAGAATTGCTTCCAGGAGGGGGGGAGCCCGACGCCATCATGATTGCCTTTCGGCCCTGCAGCCGCACCCCCCCGCGCTTGCCCAGAGACCCCTCGCCACGTCGAGCTGATGTCGTGGACGGAGTCCACAGGTCTGCCCTAGTCAGCTACAATGCCGGGATCAGCGCGTGCGAGAAGGGCGAGCAGTGGCAGCGGGCGCTGGCGCTGCTGAGCGAGATGTGGGAGGTGAAGCTGGAGCCCGACGTCAGCTGTACTGCAATGCTCGGCTCGGTGCGTGCGAGTTCGCGCTGCAGTGGCAGCGGGCCGAGGCGGCTCCCGGCGCTCCTGGGGCGCCCTGGGCGCTCGCGGGGTGGTCGTGGACGGCCCTGGGCGGTCGCCAGAAGGCTCCAAGACGCCCAACGACGGTTCAGGGACGCTCCAGGGAGCGCGCGGATGGTCAGTATCGTTCAACCGATCCCCATCCCCAGCGGCGTGGTCTGGGCCCCACTGACCGATTAACCCCCCTAGATGGGGATATAGGTCGCTCCCTTCAGGTTTCGAGGGGTGTATCCCCAACTGGGGTGGTAATGTGGTGGGGGTCTCGAAGGGGATGGGGGCAGGGATGGGGATTGGTTAAACGATATCGAGTTGGTCCTAGAGAGCCTGAAACCAGCCTCATAACGGCCCAAGGCAGCCCAAAGACAAGAGACAGCCCACGAGGACCCCGATGACAGCCCCACAAGGCCCAAATCGTATGTCCTTGATCGTTTTCGAATGATTTTCAGGTTCCCCAAGCTATCTCAAACCCAGTTCCAGACGGCTCCCAGCGCCTCCTAGATCGCCCAATCTCTGTCCAGCAGGCTCCCAGGAGAGGCCCTGGACGGCCCAAAAGGGCCCCGAGATTGCCCAAGAGCGTTCGTAGACGGCCCCAAAGAGCCCCATCTGCCTTCCAAGACGGCCCCAAGAGTCCCCACAGAGCCCTTGCGAGCTCCAAGGACGCCCCACGAAGACTCCATGGCTATTCCAAACTCAGCTTCCCAGGCTGTCCTCCAAAAGGGGCTCTGGGGTTCGTAGACGGCCCCAAAGAGCCCCATCTGCCTTCCAAGACGGCCCCAAGAGTCCCCACAGAGCACTTGCGAGCTCCAAGGACGCCCCACGAAGACTCCATGGCTATTCCAAACTCAGCTTCCCAGGCTGTCCTCCAAAAGGGGCTCTGGGGGACAGCCCGGGGACGGCACGAGAGGCGCCCAAAAGACCGCAAGAGGCTTTCCAGATTCCCCAGACAGCCTCGCAGAAGGACCCACGATGCCCCTGACACGGCCCCGAGGGACACCCCAAATATCCCAAGTGTGGACCCACAGACCCCAGGCAGGCCCCCACGAGGCTCAACGCCGACATTGGTCCAGGATCGGCCGACGTGAACGATCTCGCGATTTCAAAGCTGCCGATCGCGCAGGGTTGAGCGTTCCACGACGTGTCAAGAGCAACAGCGCAGCTCTTCCGGACAGGAAGTCACCTATTTCCTCCTCCACGGAGTCGCTGCCACAGCACGCTCAGGCGCCTCGAGGTCCTCCACCTGCACTATTGTCCTCCCCCCGTCCTATCCACAAGCTCCCCGAGCCGTTCGTCGACGAAGCTCATTCTGTGGATTAAACCAACGGCTTGCGAGTCCCAGGTTCAGGAAACCATTGATTTAATTCCTCGGGCTCACACTAGTCTCTACTACATTGCAGGGCCCAGTGCGTGCCAGAAGGGCGCAGGCCCCAATGCACCAAAACCGCCCCGGGCTGGCCCCGGGCCGCCCAGGGCCGCCCAGGCAGGCTCCAGGACATGTCGAGAGGGCCCCCAGAAGCCCCCAAGACGGCCCCGGAGAGCCCCGGCACGCTTAAAGATGGGCCCAAGACGCCCGAGATTCGCCCCAGACGGCCCAAGAGGCGTCCAAGACGCCCGAAGAGGCCTCCCAAGAGGCCTCCCAAGAGGGCCCCGAGCGACAGAAATCGTCGATTTCTATTGTGTTTTTCGATGTTTTCGGCCTCCTCGCCTCTTCGGCTTCCCGACGCTCCAAGACGGCCCAAGAAGTCCCCCCGACCGCTCCAAGACGGCCGAAGAGGACCCCAAGAGAGCCCCAAGACGGGCCAGGAGGGCCCCCAGACGGTCCCAAGACGCCCCAGGACGGCCCCAGGACGGCCCAGGAGGCGCCCAAGACGGCCCAATAGGCACCCAAGACGGCCCCAGGAGCGGCCCAAGACGGCCCAAGACAGCCCAAGAGGCGCCGAGGCGGGCCTCAGACGGCCCCAAGACGGCCCAAGAGGCACCCAAGACGGCCCGAGAGGGCCCTAAGAGCCCCCCGGGAGGCCCAAAAGAAGGCCGAAGAGGCTCCGAAACGGCCCCCACGAAGCCTTCAGTGGCTTCAGAATTCCCTCCAGGAGCGGGGGAGCGGACGAGAGGCGACAGGCACGCCGCGCTTGCCCAGAGACCCCTCGCCACGTCGAGCTGATGTCGTGGACGGAGTCCACAGGTCTGCCCTAGTCTCTACTACATTGCAGGGCCCAGTGCGTGCCAGAAGGGCGCAGGCCCCAATGCACCGAAACCGCCCCGGGCTGGCCCCGGGCCGCCCCCGCCCAGGCAGGCTCCAGGACATGTCGAGAGGGCCCCCAGAAGCCCCCAAGACGGCCCCGGAGAGCCCCGGCACGCTTAAAGATGGGCCCAAGACGCCCGAGATTCGCCCCAGACGGCCCAAGAGGCGTCCAAGACGCCCGAAGAGGCCTCCCAAGAGGCCTCCCAAGAGGGCCCCGAGCGACAGAAATCGTCGATTTCTATTGTGTTTTGCGATGTTTTCGGCCTCCTCGCCTCTTCGGCTTCCCGACGCTCCAAGACGGCCCAAGAAGTCCCCCCGACCGCTCCAAGACGGCCGAAGAGGACCCCAAGAGAGCCCCAAGACGGGCCAGGAGGGCCCCAAGACGGTCCCAAGACGCCCCAGGACGGCCCCAGGACGGCCCAGGAGGCGCCCAAGACGGCCCAAGAGGCACCCAAGACGGCCCCAGGAGCGGCCCAAGACGGCCCAAGACAGCCCAAGAGGCGCCGAGGCGGGCCTCAGACGGCCCCAAGACGGCCCAAGAGGCACCCAAGACGGCCCGAGAGGGCCCTAAGAGCCCCCCGGGAGGCCCAAAAGAAGGCCGAAGAGGCTCCGAAACGGCCCCCACGAAGCCTTCAGTGGCTTCAGAATTCCCTCCAGGAGCGGGGGAGCGGACGAGAGGCGACAGGCATATCGCAGGCAAAAACGCCCCAAGATATCCCCAAACGGCCCCCACGAAGCCCTAAATGGCCTCAGAATTGCTTCCAGGAGGGGGGGAGCGGACGAGAGGCGACCGGCATATCGAAGGCACAAAAGAACAATGTTGGACGCTCCGAGGGCCTTCGATGTTTCTCTGTTGGGGAGAGTCGTCGTAGGATCGACGATTGCCTTTCGGCCCTGCAGCCGCACCCCCCCGCGCTTGCCCAGAGACCCCTCGCCACGTCGAGCTGATGTCGTGGACGGAGTCCACAGGTCTGCCCTAGTCAGCTACAACGCTGGGATCAGCGCGTGCGAGAAAGGCAGGCAGTGGCAGCGGGCTCTATCACTGCTCAGCGACATGTGGGAGGCGAAGCTGGTGCCCAACCTCATCAGCCGTAAAGCTGGGATCTTGGCTTGCGACAGAGGTGGGCAAGGACAACATGTGATTTGGCTGCTCACAGAGACTTGGGATGCGAATCTTGAGTCCAACGTTGCTAGCTTCAGTGACGCGATCACCATTGCGATGCGCAGGTAAATACTGAGCAGGAATAATCTGCCACGTCGCCTGGATCAGCGAGTGCGGGAAGAGCTAGCACTATCAGCAGGCTTCGGCGCTGCTCAGCGAGATGTGGGAGGAGACATTGAAGCCTGACGTCATCCCCAGCGCTGGGTCAGCGCATGTGGGCAAGGCGATGAGCGGCAGCGCTCGGGGAGACGTGGGAGGCGAAGTTGGAGCCCGCCGTCGTCAGCTACAACGCTTAGCGAGGTCGACGCAGAACGTCATCACCTGCAGCGCGAGCACCAGCTTGTGCGAGGCGGGCCAGCAGTGCCAACGAGCTCTGACGCTGCTCAGCGAGATGCGTTGGGCCTCGCCCTCCTCCGCCTCCTCCTTCCCCTCCAGCCTCCAGCCTGGGCTCGAATGCCCTGAGGGCGGAGAGCGGCCACAGGGCGCAGACCCCCCCAGCGGTCCGTCTAACTCCGCATGGGCGGGCTGGATAGGCGGCATCCCAGGGCGTAAGTCATCTGCGCCACCACTTCGCCGTGTCGCACCGCCATATCCTGCGCTGCCGCTCCGACTTCGCTCCGAGCGGTGACCACGGCGTGGCCCAACTATGACCTTAGCGACCCTGCGTGGCCGACTCCAGAGGCAGCAGCTGCCTCGTGCTCTGCTTCGCGCCCCCTGTATCGGCCAGCACGTCCTGCGCTGTTATGTTTTTCAACTGGTCCATCACGGAATTATCTGCTTCGAGTTCTTGCTGCGCCGCTGCATTCCGATAGGCTGCTTTCGGTCCATCGGTTTGGGTCGTTTTCTGCTTCGCTGTCTGTTCATTCGGTTCTGCTGCGCTTGCAGTCGGCTGCGTTTGGTTGACTCGATTGCTGCGCCGCTACGTCCCTCTAGCCTGCTTTCGGTCCATCGTTTTCGGTTGGTTCTTGTTTTGCTGTGGACTCGGTCGGTTCGGCTGCGCTTGCAGTCAGCTGCGCCTGGTCGGTTCGGTTGGACCAGTTGCTGCGCCGTTGCGTTTCTCTAGGCTGGTTTCGGTCCGTGTGTTTCGAGCGGTTTCGTTTTCGCTGTTTGTTCGGCCGTTTTTTTGATTTGGAGTCTCCATGGTGGTCCACTGCCGCGGGGTGGGCGGGAGCCCTGAGGAAGGGGGGGAGCGGACAGAAGAAGAGAACGAGAGAGAGACCAGGAGGCTGGATGCAGCAAGTTCCTGCCGCTTCGGCACACCAGTTCCGCTGGCGCGGGCGTGCCCCTTTCGAATACCTTCAGGGGTCCTCCTTGGGCCCCGGGACCCGTGCATGACAAGCCACGGCGGGACATCCATTTGGAAGGTGGGGTCGACTGCCTCTGCAGAAGTCGCTCAAGGCAGAGCGGTCCATGTGGCGACAGAAGCCGGGGCCGACGCCGTCGATGCACGAGCCTTCCGTGCCGGGCCACTGGCTATAAGCCCGACGTGCCCGGCCTCGACGAGGGCTGCGTGCACACGTGCCCGCGCTGTAGTCCCAGCGCTCGGCCCTCGTGCGGCCGGGCCCTTCCGGCACCCCGCACGTGGGCTCGGGACGATCGAATGGCCACGGAAGTCATGGGTACACCGACCTCCTCCTCTTCCTCGTCCTCCTCCACGTCCCCTCCTCACCCTCTGTTCCTGCTCTCGCTGCTGCTGCTGCTGGTCCTCCTCCTCCTCCTCCTCCTCCTCCTCCTCCTCCTCCTCCTCCTCCTCCCGACCGACAGCAGTTCTTGTTCATTTTGGACAGGATTCGCTGTCAACGTCGCCGCGGGCCTTGTCCGTTTTAGACGGAAGGCCGCCTGCCCAACAGCGGCCGCTGGTGGTTTTGGACATCATTTGTTGTTGGGCACTGTACCCATTTTTCCCGTACCCATTTCGAGCGTCCAAATGGGTGACACTTCTGCCGATTCTCGCCGACTTGGGTACGTATGCCGTGGTCGGTCTTCCGGGGGAAGGCGCCAGCTTCGACCAGACTCGGGGGCCCCAGAGGACTCCCAATCCCTCGCGTTCCCAGCTCTCACCCCCCCGAGCGCCGCCGGCGTCGGACGTCTGCTCCGGCGCGCATGTCGTGTGCATCCTGCGCGGGGCCTCCGCGGGGCCCGCATGTGAGGAGGAGGAGGGGGAGGGGGAGGAGGAGGAGGAGGAGGAGGAGGAGGAGGAGGAGGAGGAGGAGGGAGGAGGAGGAGGAGAGGAGGAGGAGGAGGAGGAGGAGGAGGAGGAGGAGGAATGAGGGGGAGGAGGAGGAGGAGGAGGAGGAGGAGGAGGAGGAGGAGGATGAGGGGGAGGAGGAGCAGGAGGAGCCGACCCTTCGGACGAGGGGTGCCCTTGTGCCTGGGGCTTCGCGCGCCATATTGTGCGCATGCCTGCAGTGCCGTTCTTCATACATGCTCTGCGTGCGGACCATGGATAACAAAGGCAGTTATCATTAAAAACAAGGATGGGTTCATGCATAGACTTGTTCATGAATTCACCATGCATTGAAAAACACATGTTTTTCAAAATCCTATGTATTGAAGACTGCCCTGTGCGGTATCGTGGCACTCTCGCAGGCCTAGAGGTTGACACCAACACCAAGATCGGCGGTGTGCCTCCACCGAGGGAAGACGATCCCGATCTCGGTGATGGTGGTAATATTCCGGCTTCTAAGGTGACCGAAATATTACCACCAACACCGAAATCTAGGATCATATTCCCCATGTCGAGGCCACCCCCCGTGCTGGTGTTGGTGCCCATTTCCAGGCCTCCAACACTCGGCAGGGTCTCGTGTCCTCGAGGCTCTCGCGTGCCCTCTCCAACGGAGCGCGAGAGCACGGGCTGCCGGGCGCGCAGCCGGCGGGCCTGGAGGCCAGCGCCCCTGGAGGCGGCGCGTGGGGGCCGCGGCCCCATCGCTCGGGCCGGGCGAAAGGGGGGGATTGGGAAAGGGGGGGTTACGAAATCTGCTGCACGCAGCTGGTTTCGGCCTCACCGAAGGGCCAATTCCTCGATACATGGCCGCTCCCGGCGCCGGGAGGCGCCGGGAGAATCAGCTGCGTGAGCTGATTCTCAGACCCCCCCTTTGCTATCCCCTCCTTTCGCCCGACCCGAATCACGTGGTCGTGGCACCCGAGGTCCACGGCAGAGTCCGCGACCACGTTCGCAGACAAGATGCAGGAGGGGAAAAAATCACACAGACACAAGTAGTCGTCGATCCCCAGGAAAAGAGGGGAAAACATGGGAACTGGGCGAGAAGGCAAATTACCAGAGGAGATGTGAAAAGATGGGGGATCTGTTTATTCGTGTGTGTGTGTATTTGTGTGTGTGAATGTGTCCTTGGGCCCCTTGAAAGATCAAGTCCCCCCCTCGACTGTACAGTGGGGGGCGCGCACCAAGAAACCATCTGCTTGTCGTCAAGGCGCCCTGGGTTTCTTCGCTCCGCGTGCTGCGCGGTGACCTCCCGCAGCCGTTGGAGAAGCTGCTGCGTTCAGGATGCTCAGGTTTTCACCTCGCGCGCGGGTTTTCAGGGACGGGTTTCTTGCGAAGGTTTCTTGCGGCCGCGCCCGCACTGTAGGGGAAGAGGAGTGAGCGACGCCCAGAGACGGGGCCGTGGGCGCCGACATTCGTGCGTGAGCTGCCCGCGCATGCTCGCGCGTAGGCGCCCTCGTCTCCAATGTGGCGTGCCGCGCTGGCGGCCCGCGTGCGCTGTGGCGTAAGGTCGCTGTGCCATCTCGCGTGCAGTCGACCCGCACAGTGGGGACGGGCAGCCTTCCCAAGGGTACCCTTGCATCCTTGCCTCCCCGGTCCATCCTTGGCTACTTTCGGTGGCCGCGCCCCGCTCGGAAAGTCTTGAGGTGGGCGTCCAAGGCTCTGGCACCCTTGTCGCGCATCCTTCCCATACGGGTCTACTGTAAGACCGATTTTCGGTCGTCGCAAAATTAGGGTTAAGTCGGGCTTGTCCCTCTGAAGGAAGAATCTTCAAACATAGTCCAAAAATGCTCGGGGGACGATTTGTTGACTATTTGTGACCTTTTGGGGGTACCTTTCTGCTATTTTTCATGTTTCGCCCAAAACCCGGCCTACAATTAGGGGCGGCCCTCGCCGACCCCCAGCAAAGCGCCCCCCGCCCCCTCGCCTCGCTCCAAGGCGTGGGCACGCGGCAGGAAGGCGGCCTCGATGGGCGAGGGTTACGGGCTTGTTTTCCACCACCACCACCATAAGTTGGACGGGGGAGGGAGGTGGAGGACGAGGAGGAGCAGGAGGACGAGGAAGAGAAGGAGGAGGAGGAGGAGGAGGAGGAGAGAGAGGAGGAGGAGGAGGAGGAGGACCTCCTCCCCCTACAACTTGTGGTGGTGGTGTTGGAAAATAGGCCCATCAGAGGGGGTCTCGTCGCGGAGGCGGCTCGTCGCGGAAGGGGCCGGACAGGCCACGGCACGTTGTGTTTGATGTGCGCCAGGCCACGGCCTCTCGCGGGGAGGAGGAGGAGGAGGAGGAGGAGGAGGAGGAGGAGGAGGAGGAGGAGGCTGCGGCCTGCTTGCGACCAAGGGAGGGAGAGGAGGGCTGGGGTTTGGGGTGCTCGGGCGAGGAGGACAGACCAGACGTGCCCAGAGAGGTGGGTCTCTTGGTCGAAGCGAGGCGGAAGCCCTCGTCCTAGTCGTGGGCGCCAATTTGCGGCGCTGAACAACGCCGGTGCTGGACAAGACCAGGGCCGCCGCCCACTCGCGAGGAAGGCATGACATGTATCTATATATACACACACACACACCTATATGACCACCCTTCGGATGATAAGGAGGTTCGGGGGGGGAGGAACCAACGTCTCACTCGATCGGTCCCACTATCGATCTCACTATCGATCTCACTATCGGTCTCGCTCGATCGATCTCACTCGATCGATCTCACAATCGATCTCACTCGATCTTTTTCATTCGATCGATCTCACAATCGATCTGACTATGGATCTCACAATCGATCTCACTATCGATTTCACTATCGATCTCACAATCGATCTCACATTCGGTCTCACTATTGATCGCACTATCGATCTCACTATCGATCTCACAATCAACGTCATCATCATCATCATCATCATCATCATCATCATCAACATCATCGTCATCAACGTCATCAACATCATCATTATCGGGACACCATCATCATCATCACCTCATCACCATCATCAACATCATTAGCATCACCATCATCATCATCGGGACACCATCATCGTCACCATCATCATCATCGGGGCACCATCATCACCATCTAAACACCACCCTCATCATCATCCTCATCATCATGAACAACATCATCAAAGTCATCACCATCGGGACACCATCCCCATCATCACCAACATCATCAACATTATCATCATCGGGACACCATCATCATCGGCCCCATCATCATCGGGACACCATCATCATCAACATCAGCACCATCATCATCATTGGGCCACCATCATCAAACAATCATCGCTGCCTCATCCTCATCCTCATAATCAACATGACCATCGTCATCGGGACACCATCATCTTCATCATCTCCATCATCATCATCGTCATCATCATCATCGGGACACCATCATCATCATCAACAGCATCATCATCAACCTCATCATCATCATTACCGGGACACCGTCATCATCATCATCTCCATCATCACCATTATCTCATCATCATATCATCGTAAACATCACCACATCCATCAACAACATCATCATCAACATCTTCGGGGCACCATCAACATCAGCAACATCATCAGCAACATCATCATCGGGACACCATTATCATCA